TGCAATATTTTAGTATGTTTGACTGATAATTTCTAGTTAACAAGCATTGGTCCTGTGCAGCAAGGATAAAAACCTTTGGTTTCCGCTTTTGACCCTGCCCTACGTAGTCACTGATGGGTACAGGGTTTGTCTACATCAGCTTGTTTGGAACGGGCAGAGTATTAACCGTGAAGCGGTTTATCGTGTCATCGTTTCTGTACGTGGTCGGTTGCATTTACTTCTGTTTTTGCTTTCCTTTTCAAGTATTTGCAGGTTCAGTCGATGTATTGTGCTTTACTTGTATTTCTGCACCCACTTCAAACTGAAACTATTATTATTATTATTATTATTATTTATTTATTTATTTTCTTTGATTTCTGGCGTTTACACATTTATTTCCGGGTCGCGCCCAGGGACCTAAGGTTAGAAATGGCATCATGACACTTTCCACTGAAAAAAAAAAATTACATAGATAAAGCCAATTCGTAAAGTGTGGGCTGTACTTGTCAGAACAATTTTTTGTATCTCCTTGAGGCATGGACTTCCAGGAATCCCTTCAATTAGTCTACTGCAATCTTTTCCAACCAGCCCCATGGCTCCAACTACAACAGGGATTGTTGATGTTCCCATATGCCACATTTTTGAGATTCCTATTTCAAGGTCTTTGTATTTTGACAGCTTTTTGAATATCTTTAAAGATACATTGCAGTCAGCAGGGACTGACATATCAATAAGGAGGCACTGTTTTTGTTTGTGGTCTTTAATAACAATTTATTATTATTATTATTATTATTATTATTATTATTATTCACTCAATAAATAGAAACAAAAAACAATCCTTATATTTGTCTATATTCTTTCATATATTCATTCAGTTTCTTTTACTTTGTCTGGAAGAATATTCCTCTACATCCTGGTGTTTATGATAGCAGAAGATATAATGCTTGCCGAAAAATGGAGAAGCAAGAAGCTTCCATAAATCCTCAATATTCTCGAAAGCCACGTTCCGGATCGTTTCTGTTTCTTTCTTCGGATACCAAATTCTAAGCGATTTCACTTTAGGATCCTTAAGAGATCCCAGGCCATTAAAACCATAAATCTTTTTCTCCTCCTCTTCCGTTACAAAACTAAATCTTGTTATTTTTATTTCATTCAATATTTCTCTCTTTCTCGCTGTCTTTCCTTTGTTTTTGCTCTGTAGACCACTGGATGACTACGTCCAACAATGCGGTAATAAGTAAAATCTTCCGTGTGTTACACTTGGAAAATTTGGGAGTGTTTAATCAATCTTTGAAGATAACATCTCATGAAGCCAAACAACCAAGATCATGTGGATTGATGACGAAAGCGTCTCGAGAGTGGAAGCGATTAGAAAAGTTTCGCATGAATGTCGAACAACTAAACGATCCTAGCAGATACAGTAATATCTCGGTTTACGTCGTTTCGAGTTAAGTCGTTTTCGACCATACGTCAGTTTATCTTAAATATTATATAAAAATAAAAAACTCCATTTTAGGTCGTTTTTATTTTTTATGCCGGCTGTTAAAAATATTAGAAACGTCAAAACACTAAAATAACAATAAACATATATAACATATTCAAATAAAATAAAAAAAAATATTATATATATATATATATATATATATATATATATATATATATATATATATATATATATATATGTGTGTGTGTGTGTGTATGAAATAATCAAAATATATATATTATATATATATATATATATATATATATATTCATTGATGCATGTTTCATTAAATAATATAGACAATATATTATTTAATATTTTGTCTATTTATTTAAGTAAGTTCCTTTCATATTGTCTGATAAACTTAATAACATTATCATTGAAGGAAGAAAGGAAATCACCATATTGATACATGTTTAAATCCTCTCTAACCTTTCGGCTTACATAAGCCATTATGAAAGGTGACAATTACATTTCAATATATCAACCAATACACGGACGAAACAATAATGACAATCTGTTTTTGTTGCATGAAAAATTTCAAAGCAACGACTAATTCGTGTATACGAGACGCGGAAGCGAAAATCGCGTCGCAGCTCGTGACGTCACACATGACCACGCGAGAGTGAAAACGAGAAGTATTTAGTATGGGAGACGTTGGTATAAACCAATGGCTTCTGTTCTCAATTATAGGCATTTAAGAAAATTTCTGGAGATTTCATAGTTTATTTTGTTCAGGTTAGGTTTCAACTGTTTTATGTATATAACTTCAAGAATTTTCAGATTTTGTTTATATATATATATATATATATATATATATATATATATATATATATATATATATATGTTATAAAATAATTAAAACAGAAAAAATTAGCATAATAAAATATGTTCAGCAGATGCTCTTATTTCAAACTCCTTTTATGTCATTTCATATGCGTTGTTTTTAAATTGCAACACCGACTTTGAATTCAGATTTTTTACATCTGTGCTCTGCCATTGACGTTCGTTCAGTTACCTTTCAATTGTGATTTAGAATATCTTTTTGTCCATGGCTCCGAAGAAAAGTCCCAATGCTAAGTGTATGGCTATATCGCTGGAAAATGAAATGAAAATTAATAATTATCACCAGCAATAATTTTTGAAGGAAAAATTATTATCAACAATACTTTAAAAAAATAATACCAGCAATACAGACAGCTATACATTATTTGAAAAAAAAAAAATATGACCAGCTATAGATTTCTTCAAGGAAAAATATTCCCAGAAATAGATTTGATTTGTTGAAAAAAACATATTAACTGCAATAAAATTTTATACGCATTAAATAACCCATTGAGGTTGAAATGCCAAAAACAAAAAATATTCAAACCAATCTAAACCAAAGAATACATATTCTATTAAAAATGAATCTAGCCTAAAAATGTTGTCGGCATTAAATAACCCATTGATGTGTTGATATGCCGTAAAACAAAACAAAGCAAACCAAACCGAACGAATTGCTGGTACTGATTTATATTTTTGTAGACTGCACTTTTAAATTTGGTTTACGGCTACATCACTTTGAAAAATTAGTATATAAAATGTACTCTCTGACAGGGATTGAAAATGGGTTTTCCATTGTAAGAGAAACTACAGTTTGATCGGGACTGGTTTACCGAAACACAAGCTAAGCAACGTCAAGACTGGACAGTACGTAGATGGGGAACCGCTTTAAAATACCAGGCACTGTCACCTTGGGTGTGCGGACGATGTAATGGGTAATGGCTCGAATTTATTAATAGTAGAGCTGCGTTTCGATCCCAGTTGGGTTTCGCTATATTCACTTACGCGCAAATAGCCTTGGTGATGCGTGTGAATCCTCCATGTCTCCTTCCAGCTATGTGTTAATTAATAAGACTTGAATCACTAAATCATTATTATCTCAAAAAATACTTCTTACAATCTAAAATTATTCTCTGGCTTTAAATAACCTACAGTGGGTTGATAAAACGAATCAACCAAACCATCCAATTTTAAAATTAAAATCATATGTAATAAGTATTTTTAAAATAGTTAATATCGTCATAAGGAAGAGTTTTCATAATTTGAGAGATATCTGTAACTTCACGTACAACGTATGTCATGATAGTATTCTTCTAGTACAGGTTGCGACGGGTAAATTGCCGCCATTTTATCTTTTTCATTTCGGGCAAGCGCATTGTTAGATTTTGATTTTGTCGACTGCACAACACAGTAGGGTCAGTTGGGCACCGTCTCTGAGAAAATGAGCATCATGACGCAATTCACTCCGCCAGAAATTTGAAAACAACACGCTATACTGCTTGGCATTCGAAAAAAATGAACATTTCAGAGTGTCTGGGTGTAGATCTGAAGAGAGTGCAGAGAATTCACAAAGAGTTGGATGAATCTAATGGTGATTACGAAGGTGTTTGGAGTGATCACTAGTGATAGCGAAGTTATGCCTCCATTCATCACCACACAGGGCCTCAGACTCTATAGGGAGTCCTACAACATGTAGTGATGCACTGGGTCGAGAGGGTGGCCTCATGTCTGGCAACAGATCTCCGAACCATGCCACCTAAGAAGAAGAACCCTGTCATTGTTGTCAGACAATTTCTACGAACACATCACCCCTTACATCTGGCCACCTGACTTCCAGACTGCAACCCCTTGATTATTACATGTAGGGCGCAGTTGTTGCGCGAGACCAACAAAACTTCCAGACAGACACTAGAATAGTACACCCAATAAAGTAACTCGTGGGTTTATATTAAGCCCTTCAAGCCCTTCCTCTGTCTTTTAGATCTGATTATTGTCAATTTTTGTTGATTATATATTTAATGAATTTAATATATTTTCTATGGCTTTATTCTATTTAATTCCCTGAGTATATATTCCGGTCCTCGGTAGGATAGTGAAGAGAGAGGAATAAAAACTGATTAAACTTTTTTCTTCCTATTTTGTTTTTCATACTTGCCGCTTTAAATTAAATTTCTACTCGATTGGCATCACGGTCCCACCCTTTTATTGTTGAAATAGTTAAATACAACCGCCACAACAATTTTTTCTCGCACTTCCCGCCCGTGGAACTCCCTTCCGCTTCCTTCCTTCCTTCCCTGATAACTATCATCTTCAAAACTTTAAAAGCAACATCAGTCTTCACCTTCTGTCTTCTTGAATCCCGTTTATCTTTTGTCCTTTTCTCAATCCGACAGTATTCTCTGTCTTTTCTCTCACTTTCACTCCCTTTAACTTCCTGCTTGCTAGTGGTCTTCCTGTCCTGTTTGCGAGGAAATAATTAAAAAAAAAAAAAGCGTATATTTATTTCTTGTTGTTTCGCATTAATATGTCCGTTTTTATTGCAATTGTAAGCGTCACTCTTTTGCATTATTTTTCATTGCCCTAGAGTTATGTCTATTACTCTTGCTTGAATTCGATAGCCAGTTTAAATCCATCAGACCTATTTTATAACTCTGGCTTTTCCTTATACAATTTGTTCGCACAGTCAAATTTTGAAATCCTCGCTTGACCACCGATGAATCACAATCCCGACCCTGCCTCACCGTCTTTCACGTTTCTTTTGCGTCCTCTTGCTACTTTCACTACTCATGTGTCTCGTCTTTTTTTCTTTTTTTTTCTTCGCGGTGACAATATTCGCTAGTTTGAAGCCGCGGCTTTGTCAGCGATCTCGGAGAAATTTTATGAATATCCCGGTGGACCGGAGGCTGACTAAGCTTAAGGCGGGCAAATACTTACCAAGTCGTATGACGCGGCAGGCAGGTTCATTTGAAGAAGAAGAAGAAGAAGAAGAAGAAGAAGAAGAAGAAGAACAACAACAACAACAACAACAACAACAATTACAACAACAACAAAAGGAGACTATTTCAAAGCGAACGGATACTTGTTTAAGGTCAGACGTGTTGTCCTATGACGGAAATTCTAGTTGATGAAAGGGGAGATTCTTTTACATTAGTGAAGGTTTACGCGCGCGAGTTTCCATTTGATGCCTGGCTGATTTAGACATCGTCTAAGATGGATCACTCGCAAGATGTTACCTGCATAGGAAATATGGCGATTTTGTGCTTGAGAGCCCAGAGTCTTTGCATTCAGTACTTTCTTTTTGTACTTCTTTATTTGGAATTTGTATATTTTGTGGGACTTTTGTTCCTTCATTTTATTATTATTTTGCCTTTCCTCTTTTGTTTAACAATTTCTCCTTCTTCTCCATTTTATTATTAACCCCTTTTTCACGTGTTCATTCTTTCGCATGCACGCTCTTTCTTTTTATTTCCCTTTCTTTCTTTCTTTCTTTCTTTCTTTCTTTCTTTCTTTTCCATCGCATTTTACTTCCTTCTTGTCATATACATCAGTTCGTTATTTGTCTCTCTTTTCAAATGGTTCCTGTACGATCACCGACGTTAAGCAACGTTGATACTAGTTAGCACATAGATGGGTAACTGTTTGGGAATATCAGTTACTTTAAGCTTGGGCGGGCGGGTGGTGTAATGGATAATGGCTCGGAGATTTTAATCGGAGACACCAGTTTTCGTTGTGTTCGTTATATTCACCTGCATGTATATAGCATTAGGAAAGCTATGAATCCACCATTTATCTCCCACCTATGGGTTAATTAGTAAGACATGTAGCGCAAAAGTATTGGTGTCTCTCTCTAAAACAATCTATCTGAGAATCTAAAAATATTTTCTGGCTTTAATGTAATCTTTTCTAATTTTTATTTCTTCTTTCATTTCCAGTGCATTTTCATTCTTTTTGTCTTTCTTTCTCAGGAATTTTCTTTTTCATTTCATTTCTTTCTTCGTTCATTCTGCTTTTTATGTAAGGATATTCATTCTGGTTTCCTTCTATTCAACTGTAATTTCTTTCTTTCCTACGAATTTCTTTCATTACTTTTCTTTCTCTTTCAATAAATATTCTTTCTTTCATAATGATAACTTTTCCTATTTATTTGCATCTTACTCTCTTTTCATTTTTTTTTTTTGATCGATTTTCATTCATTTATTTTTCTATCAGTTTCACGGCCTTTTCTTTCTTTCACGAAAATTTTCTTTCATTATTTTTCTTTCTCTTTCAATAAATGTTCTTGCTTTCATAAACATATTTTTTCCTATTTCTTTTCATTTTACTCTGTTTTCATTTTTTTCTGATCGATCTTCTTTTCTTTCTTTCATTATTTTTCTTTCATATTTTTCTTTCATTTTTTTTTTTTGCGATGTCTTTAATTTTCATTTTCAACAACAATTTTCTTTCATTATTTTTCTTTCATTTTTACTGTACTGTTCTCTGTTGCTTAAGATTCATTTTCATTCTTTCTTTTCACAGTATTTTCTTTCTTTCATAATGACATTCTTTCATTCCTTTTTGGATTTCTTTTGACTGTATTCTCTTTCTTTTCTAACAATTTTGGTTCATATTTATTTATAAAGTAATTTTATCTATCAGTCATTTCTCTCTCTCTCACAGACACAAACACACACATACAAACACTCTCTTAGTCTGTCATTTTCCTTCTGTTACATGTCTCTCCAAGTCGTGAACGATAATAGCACTCCACAAGATACTATCCTTTTTTGCTTGCATACCAGAAAGAGACAGTTGAAGTTTCTGGGACATATAATAAGGAAGGAGAGCCTGGAGAATCTGATACTCACGTGTCGGATAGAGGGAAAGAGAGACAAGGGAAAACAACACGTGAAATACCTGGTGGACATAAGGAAGTGGGTGACAGAATATGGTCTGGGGGAGGAAACAGAAGGAAGTAACTTGTTGAGAGCTGCAAGGGATAGAGGGAGGTGGAGAGACATGATTGCCTAAGTCCTGAAAGGACATGGCACATAAAAAGAACAAATCTTAGTCCTTTACAGTCCTTATTTTCTTTGGCGCATTTGTCCCGTGATGGAGACTGCCAAAGCATGCTATAAACAGATAGATAGATAGATAGTTGTTGCAGTAGATAGATAAATAGATCTATCGATCCATCGAAAGATAGATAGATAGATAGATAGATAGATAGATAGATAGATAGATAGATAGATAGATAGATAGATTGGCTCCAGTAAATAAATAGGTAGATAAATATATCGAGAGACAAACTTCAATATACTGAAATATTTTCCCATAAAGTTATATATATATAACCGGAAATGCTCCTGATGCTCGTGAGCGGCACTTCCGGAAGTGGGTTCCGCTATATTGGTTGACCACAAACATAAACAAAGTGGATTATGCGTGTCGGAGAGGTCGGTAGACGTGTGATCTCTTAATATACTACAGATATATATTTATTTACACACACACAGTTCACACACACACATAACACACATATATATATATATATATATATATATATATATATATATATATATATATATATATATATATGTGTGTGTGTGTGTGCTTTTTTGTTACAATCCTGCTTTTTCTCATTCAGTCCTGGAAATTTCAACTGTTTCTTTTCCGGTTCAAAGATTAAGCTTCCTTTTTATTGCATCAGATTTTCATCGCGCCCAGACACTATTGTCTCGACTGTCGATCCTAGGATCATGGTCTGCGATGGGCATTACTCCAAGGAAGCGTACGAAAATTGTAACGCTGCACGAACACAGTGGCATGCCGTACCAGTGAGCAAATCAAAGTACTATCGACTGGATTGGAAACTCTCCCGATTTAAGTCCAATCGAGAATCTGTTGTCAATCTGTAAGGAAAGACTTCGTGGAATGGACATACGATGTACTAACATACGCACTGGCTCATGTTTCATTGGAAAATACAAAAAAAAGTAAATAATAACGGAATTCGTTTTGTTTCAATTAATTTGTACAAGGATGTATGTCACGGCTCGAAGTAGGAGGGCAGTTTCCTTTCTTTGTGACGATATGCGATGTGGATTTTCAAATCGACCATGAAATGTACTTAAATAGCATCGTCAGATCGAGGCTCTCATATAAAAGTCATGCATGTCGTCCAACTCGTTCAGAAATGTTGAACTATCAGCTTGATTCAATCGTCTCCCCAGATCAATGATTAAAAATGGCCTCAAACTAATAAATCCTCAAGATCTTAAAGACAACCTATCATCGGGGTCTTATAGATGGCGCTATACTTTGTCATTTCAGAGAAGCTGAGCAGGCACTGATATTTCTCAGTTTGAAAAAAAATGAACATCGATGCTTGCTGTAACATGGTGAGAAAACAGTGGATACCAGCAGAGATAGTCAGGACTAAATAAACTTTTTAGTAGTGTTGGTAGCGATTTGTACGACAAACCAATTTTTTTTTAAATGCAGGGATTTTATTTTGCAACAAGGGTTTATAAACTGAAATAAAACTATTAGTTTTTCAGAATTTGTAAATATAAAAACGCTCATAAATATCTATAAAACTAACTGAAACGTCTACTAATTATGGCGGATGTTAACTGAAGTAATTTAATGCTGGATAAACAAATGTGAGAAAATGTTGTTGAATTTTGTTTTTTATAATGTAATTATTAATCATTTTTATTTTAGATTCGAATTAATTTATGTATCATATATTTTAAATATATGTAGTATTTTTGAAAAAGACAAAGAATAAAAAATAAATGAAGGTATCTTACCTAATGAAAATTTCCATCAAGTGAAACGAAAATATTTTAATTGGGGAATTAATGAGATGTTGCCATGAAATTAAAATAATAAATTGATATTTATGCTTGCATATTCACGTCTACCTTCTTAGGGAGGTATCCGTATGCATCTATTAATATAATTTTGAATATTCATTAAGCACGCATACACGGACACGTATATAGATATATATTCAAAATTATATATTTGGGTAGTAATCCCTTTTATACAAGTTTCATTAAATCGATTGATAAAGTACTGCGATTAAGACTTTATTTGATTTTTCTTATGCATTCGTACAAGTATTTTCTTTTCTGGACATGCGTAAAAACTTTCCAAATATTTTTTATATCCGGGAACTTTCAACTATTCTGTTAGCCATTAAGAAAGATTTTTTTTTAACTGAAGATGTATATATTTATATACGTGTTTCCCAAACCTGATCAGCATTAAATATTGATTAACACAATGCCGTAGAAACAATATTGTCATTTGAAAAGACGCGGAGATAAAGTTTTTCAAATTGAGTTTGAGAAGAACTTTTGAAGGCTTATGAAAAAAAAATGGTTTCACAAATAATAACAAACGAGAACTATATAATTAAGTATTAAAATATGAAATCAATTTGATTGAAAATCTATCTATATTTATCTCTCTCTGAAATCTCTATATATATATATATATATATATATATATATATATATATATATATATATATATATATATATATATATATTTTGGTATATTAGGGTAACCTCTCTTTTATGCAAATTTATTTAAAAATGACTGACAAGTTACTGCGATTAAGCTTTTAATTCAATGTTTCTTTCATTCGCACAGATGTTTTAGGGATGGACATAGTGTTGAGATGTTGTGAGTTTCCCGCGTGTCGGTGTGTGAATCAAGACAAACACAGTTGTAGAGGAAAATACTGGTATATTCATAAAAGCAATTAACAATAGAGTGATTAGTAGAACGAAGGTTGGTTAGTACGAAACAATATCCAAAGTCTATAGTCCAACGGTATGTACCGGGTAAGTTTATCTGGACTGCTAACGCTGACGCTCTCTCCCTCTCTCTCCAGAGCTGACTTATATAAGAGGGACCAGTCCATTACTAGTTAGAAGGTGGGTGCGCCCCAACAGATAGTGATAAGATAGTATTGTTTAAATATCTTGACAATGGAATGAGTGGATTTCTTCAAACATTAATAGAACATATGGATTAACTAAAAGCAATTTTAAATTTAATATTTTATCTTATTTTACGTGGCCGTGTCCCTTCAGGGCGTAGGCGATCAATTGTTTTTGATTCTTATTTTTTGTTTTTCTCAATAAATGTTGTATTTTTGCTACTTCTCCCAGACCCTGTTCTGTCATCCACTTGCTTAATGTTGCTAGGTATGTCACGCGTTGGTTTTCCTTGTCTTTCTTTCCTCTATTCGCTTACAGAGTATGTAAAATTGTCAGTAAATAGATGTGAAACAAGGAGAAGACTGTAGTTGAGTTTGGTATTTCCGAAAAGGCACAAAAGCATCGATGTAGAGAGGGTATATTAAGGAACAAAACCAAGTAAAGAAACATATTGAAAAAAATTAGGGAAACAGTAAAGAAATCCACTATTCGATTGAATACCTGCATCATTAGTAACATTACAATGGTTAAGCCACTTGACATGGTGGAAATTAAAAAGAAATTGGAGAAAAGGTTGTGGAGAGCAGGTGATATTTTAATTACTGGTTTACAGTTGCTTATTTTAACTGTAACTCTCATAAGAAGATTATTCTAATTTAATAGAAAAGACCAGAATAATTATCATATGTTCATTTTCTATGGCAATACAAACCGACCGGGATATATACTAAGACCAAAGCATAATGTGACCTTTTTGCCAACCGGAAGTAGATGCAGGGACACCTATTCATACGCGACATGGTCCTGAAAATATATTTGATATTATGCGATGTGAAACAGAGCAGCGTCTTTATATACTACCAAAGAGTGACGGCTATATTATATAGCAGTCAGAATGCAACAGAAAACTGCCAAACCGGTATCCTCAAAATGAAAAGTCGCAGCCACTGATCGGTTATATAATCAAATCTTTTAGACCAGGGACGTCTAACTCATTTTGATTCGGGCGTAATGAGCTCAATTTTACATATCTGGGCCGGAGATGTACAGAAAATGTCAAGATGAAGAAAATTGTATTGTATTTATTCAATAAAAACACAAACCTTTGATGTATCCCGACTGGACGGATGTTTCCTGTCTGGCACGTTAGGCAATATAATAAACTGCGAGGCTAATCTCTTTAAAATGCCAGCTAATACAGGCGATAAAAACATTGCTAGGTTTCAGTTGGTTCAAAATTGTTTCAAGGGCTAATTGAAGCCCTTGGTTAACTGGAAAGGCCCACGGGCCTTTGTATTTGGCACCTTTGGTTTAGACAGTTAAATCATTAAGGCTATGAAAGAAAGAATCTGGTAGTAAATCACACCTTAAAGCAGGAAACAAGAATAAATCTCTATCTTGTTCAATAAAGATGCAAGAAGTAGGGGGTCGAGCAAAAGGAAGGCTTCTCCTATTAAATTAATCATAAGAAGAATAGATACCACCTTTTCATCCCGGGAAAAAAGACCAAGAATGAATGAAGAGAGAGAGAGAGAGAGATTTGATGCTGTGGTTTAAATACAAGCGAGTGGTGACGTCATTATTCCGTTATAGCAATGCTAGTTATAAGACACCTAATTTTAATTTATTTATACACGCTTGAACTTTATTGTACATTTAATTAAAGAGAAAATGTCTTATCAGATTAATTTTCGTGTTTTCAGAAATCGCAAAATTCTTCATTGAACCAGCAAAATACATTTCTGGTTGGTTCATCTTAAGCTATTTGGAAGGGCGCATGAGCTGTTCGTGTCTTAATGCTGATGGCATGATAAAACAGGAAAAATTTAGTGTAACACCATTGTCGGTAACCAAATATTTAACGCCACTCCGTCGGTCCTCAAGTTCCTTCAAACCACTGTGTTTACCATCTAGCTGACTTTTCACTCGTTAACGCGTGACTCGTTTGTTGCTGGTTTCGTGATGATAGGCACGGTTCCACTCGACTTAGCTGGCGTTTGTTTTTGAAACGATTATTCACTCCTCTGCCACGTTGTGTTTTTTTTATATGTTCTTATTTATGCCCTCTTTTCGCTGATGAAGCAAACTGAAGTGAAGGCGGTTCGACAGCTGAGCCACACAAGAAATTTTTTCCTTTAGAATCAAGAATTAACTCAGGTTAAAAATGTAACAACGATTTGGTTTTATATAATTTGTTGGATACAGCGGTTTTAACCCTTCCTACTTATTGTGATAATCAAATGACACTGGAACCCCAATTGGAGTTTTCAGCTCTCTGATAATAGTAACTTAAATTAAGTTCTGGTCTTCGGAGCCAGCACAAGGTCTTGGTCAGAAGGTCACGGCGAACGATGGGGATTCCAGTATAGTAGTGTGGGGACACTAAGTTGTTCAAATATCCGGCTTATATGGAGTCATGCCTCCGGCAGAATTGGGTTGACTATGGTCTATCGGTTGCCTTCCACCCTTAACATCAAACTTTTTTTCTAAAATTCCATGTATAAAAATACATTTACTATCGTGGTTTTTAAATGTGGGACTGTCCATACCCCTTTTGAGAGTGGTTAGAGGAATCAAACTGCACTCCAACCTCTCCACGTCTCACCTCGCATCATCGCTCCATATAGACGGTGACATTTTTCTTCTTTTTTCTTTTTTATGATTTTTCTCGGCAGCTAACCTCAGGCTTCCAGATGGCGTGGCAAAACAAAAGGGATTTTCAGAATTAATCTTTCTTTATTAGTTTGTCCTATGCTGTGATTTTTAGATCGACTAGACCACTCAAGAATTGAGAAAGATGGAAAAAAAAATTATTTCCACCCTCCTTAAAAAAATAAAAGTTTATCGTTTTTCTGTCTGTGCATTTTTACGATCAATAGACTACACAGCCTTTTTGTCCATTTTCACTTCAAAATAGTAATTAATTTTTCCTTATCACTTGTATCCAAAGAAATCCGAATTAATGTTTAGATATAAATTTTTTTTAAACGAATGTCACAGAAATTATAATGACGAACTCGTCAAGTCGGTCTCTATGTCTACGAGGACACTTCACTTCTGGGTGGCTAATTCAAAACAGATATTTTATTTATTTAAAAATAATACAAGCCAAACTTTTTTACCACAACCTAAAAGCGAAGACTTTAACGACCAATGAGTTGTTCCTTCGGACTTTTTTCGATGTGCCATGATTTGATTTTTTTTGGTGACGCTGTATCTAGCCCCGAGCAATAAATTTTGAATGTTCTGGAAAAAAGGATTGAGAAAGAAAACTGTTTCTTTAGATTATTTTCAACTAATCAGAGGAAATTAATTTAAAATCCGCAATGATTTGAAAAGGTAATTGCTTGATCCTGGCAACCCAAATATAAACAAAAAGTCACTGGCCGGTGAAAATCACGTTTCGTCGGAATGGATAGTTACACCGACGGGAGGACAATTAACAACTGACATTTGCAGCTGAGAACGGAAAAATGGATAAAAACTCCAAGTAACCGGTAAAAATCCGAACGACATGATCGAAAACAAGAAATTAACAATCTATCGTGAAACCAACTTCAAAGAAACACAGACCAAGTCTTCTTGACATCGTTTTATCAAAATTCTCCATTTGGCCTTCCTCGCAAACATTCTTTTTTTTTTTTTTTCCTGTATAAGAAAACTCTATCAAGTGCCCGGCGTTGCCCAGGGATGTAACAGTAAGAGATAGATCAAGTTACGACCATCATAAAGACTGAAAATAAAATTGAAAAGATTATTGTTTAAGGTTGACGGACACGCATGTCTTAATTAGTATTTTTGTTTTGTTTGTTTTTTTTTTTTTTTTTACGAAATGGTCAAACCCAAACTCAAAAAAATATTGTTTTCAATCGTTATGAGTCTACCGATTGAATAGAATTTTATTATAAACAATTGTCTTGTAAATGGAATTTTTAAAGCATTCTGAATGTAAAAATAAAGAAAAAAAGTGTGCAAGACAAAAGAAACACTACCTGCCAAAAAAAAAAAGTGAAGTTTTTGTTGAAATCGGTTGAAAAAATGTAGGAAATCCGATCCCATATATAAACGAACACACACACACACACACACACACACACACACACACACACACACACACACACACACACAACCTGGGCTTTTATTTAAGTATAACTCGATATGAGTTGTCCCCTTTCATTCTCAACGACAGCGATGCCTCTTAATCGTGTTTTCAAAATTTGATTTTGTTTTTTCAATTTTTAGCACTGTCAAAACAATTGTAATTTTTTTCCCAATTTTTCGAAATCGGTTTAAAAAATGTAGAACCACAATATATAAACGAACAGAGAAAGGTAACCTGGGTTTTATAATAGTCTGGTGAATTTTCGCCAATAATGAATCCTAGTACTAATTACCTCAGAATCGCCACGCTGTATGGATTGAATAATTAGATGAGAAGACATATCCTTGTCTTTCTCCATTTTCTATTTTTGTTATCTGCTTAACTCTTTTTCTGTTCGTACGTATGAAGTTAGTTTGCTGCCAGTATAGGTTCTTCATTATTCTCCTACTCTTCCCAGATATGCCAGTGTTTCTGAGCAGTTCCAGCAGACCATTGTGGCGTACTTTATCGAACGCCTTTACGTAATCTATAAAACACAGGCACACGCGTACTTCTGCATTTTGTATTGATCTTTCTCATAACATTCTCAGCATAAATACCGCGCGTTCCTTTTTCTAATGTCATTGAAGAACTCGCACTGTTTCTCTTCTATTTCGGGTCTTATTCCGCTGCACGTTCTATTTATCAGAATTCGGTTTCGCTTCGTTTGATTTCTTTTACGGTATATCAACCTCAATGTCGACATCATTTTTTATTGCCAGTAATATTTTTTTCCAAAATTGTATTGTTAGTAATATTTTTTTCCAAAAATGTATTGCTGGTAATATTTTTTTGCAAGAAATCTATTGCTGGTAATATGCATTTTTAGAAAAATGTATTGCTGGTTATATTTTTCCAAAAAATGTATTACTGGTAATATTTTTTCCAAAAAGGTATTGCTAGTAATATTTTTTTCCAAAATTGTATTGTTAGTAATATTTTTTCCAAAAATGTATTGCTGGTAATATTTTTTTGCATAGAATCTATTGCTGGTAATGTTTTTTTTTCAAAATATCTATTGCTGGTAATATTTTTTTTTTTCATAAAATGTATTGCTATTAATATTTTTTTTTACAAAAATGTATTTCTGGTAAAATTTTTTTACAAAAATGTATTTCTGGTAATATTTTTTTACAAAAATGTATTGCTGGTAATATTTTTTTCCAAAAATCTATTGCTGGTAATATTTTTTCCCAAAATATAGTGCTGGTAATATTTTTCTCCTAAAATATATTGCTGGTAATAATTTTTTCAAAAAATGTATTGCTGGTAATATTTTTTTACAAAAATGTATTTCTGGTAATATTTTTTTACAAAAATGTATTTCTGGTAATATTTTTTTCCCAAAATGTTTTGCTGGCAATATTTTTTTTTCCAAAAATCTATTGCTGATAATATTTTTTGACAAAAAATCTATTGTTAGTAATATTTTTCTTTATAAAAAAATGTACTGCTGGTAATAATTTTTTCAAAGTAAGTATTGCTTGTATTAAAACCTATTTTCATACTTTCATAATGTTTTGACCCCTTTTGAGAGGGGTTAACTATTTGTCCATAGCTGGGACCCTAACAGGTGCTACCACTCCAGGTCAGCAAATAAGAGATGGTTCCACGCTTCTCAAGACCTTCTGATCAGAGTCTTTGCTGTCGGATATAGTTTATCGTCTTACCCAGGACGCGGATGTAGTTAATCGTCTAACCCAGGACGGCAGAATTTAGATGGTAATTTTTTTTCTATATAGCTCATTTGGCTGATTGTCCGATGGAGTTCACATTCGTTTGCACCTTGTTCCTTAGGCAGTGCTATGAAAATAGTTCTACTGAGGTCTTCGAGTAGATCACCATTGTTGCAGGTATTATTTATTATCTCTGCATTTGGTAATTTTTACAAAACTTTTTTTTTGTCTTGTTCTTAATCCTGCAGTGGGGAATTTTGTGTCCCAATTTATTGCAATTAAAACATCTTTTTATCTTTAAAAAGACAATCACTATGTTTTTCTATGTCGATATCATTTAGGCTTCCATGCAGTTTTGAATTCAAAGTTGTTGTTCATGACTGATTGCCAACCACAGCAAGAGAGTCCAGTCTGCATCGCTATTTAACCCCTAGGTAGCGGAGCAGAAAAAAAATTGACACTATTCTCAAAGGTATTTGTTCAAAAGTGAATAACAGACTTGACCGGAATTCGAAATCGGCGCGCTGATTTCTCGTCCCGAGCAGCTAGCACTTGGAATCAGCGCACGCCAACAAATTTATCAGACGAAAACATCTTCGCAAAGAAAAGTTATCTAAATAAAACGAAAAATCGCAAGACCATGTTTCGGGTGTGGTCAGTTACATTGGTATAGTGATTGTATGAAGAACGGGTAATTTTTCAGGACTGATTTTAGGATATAACTATTAACTCATTATGTCAAAAAGTTGAAAATTTGACTGACGAAGCAAAAAAGTTGAAAAGTGAACTTAAAAAAAATTTTCCCAATGTTTTCAGTGGAGGACTAGGAAAATGCACAAAAATGTCTGCTAAGTTTGATTTAAAGCCAGATCCAGTTTAAAAAAAAAACGTAACGTTCCATTTGCCTCATTAAATCAAACTGACGAACATTGAATCGATTTGAGGAAATAGGAGTTCTGGCAAAGTTTTGAAAAAGGTTATAGTGAATGGGCATCTCCACAGTTTATATTAAAAAAAAAAAAAAGAGCAAAAGAAATTTGTGTATGTGTTGACTTCTCTATTAGGAACCATTATCCTCTTCCAAGTCCAGAGGATATATTCGCTAAGCTCAGTGGAGGAAAATATTTTTTAAGATCAACTTAAGTGATGCATATCTACAAATACCTGTGGACAAGGAATGCTTGAAACTCCTTTATATAAACAACCACAAGGGTTTATACAAATTTTTAAGACTTCTGTTCAGGGTTAAGGTCCTCCTTCCATTTTTCAACAGGTCATGGACACAATGTTAAATGGTCTGGATTTTGCAGTGGCCTATCTTGATGACATTTTAATGAAAAGTGAGAGCATTGAGGAAACACAAATTGCACGTTTGGCAGGTGTTCAGGAGAATCCATGATTACGGATTCAAATTAAAAGATGGGAAGTGTGAGTTTTTCTTAGAGAGAATTAAGCACTTGGGGCAAATAATTGAGTTCTGGGACCCAGATAGGACAACGGCAATAAAGAATATACCAGCACCAGAAAATGTATCGGCTCTTCAAAGTTTTTTAGGTCTTGCCAATTATTACAACGTTTTTGTTTCAAGAATGCACAGTTTGAGAGCTCCATTTAATGAATTATTGAGAAAAGATAAAGAGTGGGAATGGACAACCAAATGCCAGGAAGCATTTTAGAAAAATATAGGAGGTCTTTACATCAGGCCTGTTCCTGGCTCATTACGATCCAAACCTTGACATCATTGTAGCCAGCGATGCATCCTACGGCATCAGGGTGTGCATTTTATACAAGTTAAAGGATGGATTGGTAAAAACCAATCGCCCATGAAAGGGGACGCTATTACCAGCTGAAAGGGGTTATCGCAAATAGTGACTAAATTTCATTGTTTATTCATGGAAGGTACTTTTATGTTTCAGACAGACCATCGTCCACTCCTTACTATCTTTGGATCAAAAAAGGGTCTGCCAACACATACTGCTAATAGACTGCAAAGATGGGGAACCATTCTCTTCAATTAGAACTACAAAATGGAGTTTCTCCTATCCGCTAAAATCTGTCATGCAGACGGGTTGTCTAGATTGATACCTAAGTATGCTGAACCCCTGGAAGACACAATCATTGCCTCCATAAGAACAGAGGTTGAAATAAAAAGTACCTAGTGCAATACTGTCAGGGAGCTTCCTATAACAATTGACGAGATAATAGACAAAGCGTCCGATAATGAGCTCATAAAGGAAGTAAAGGAGAAACTAAATAGTAAAGTGATCGCTGATACACATTTATTTTGTTGGCCCACTTGATGGTTTTTACTACCTTGTAGTAGTTGACAGTTATTCCAAGTGACCAGAAGTGTTGAAATGTAAGAAGCCAACCGGAGGTAACAGTAAATTTTTTGCACGAGCTATTTTCCCGTTTCAGAGTTGTTGACTGTGTGGTAACAGATAATGGCACACAGTTCACATCCTGTGAATTTAAGGATTTTTGTCAGTCATTCCTCATTGAACATATTACCACAGAGCCATATCATCCAAGAAGTAATGGACAGAGAGCGTTTTGTCAACATTTTTAAGAGCACTGGGGAAGACGAGAGGTACTCACACCGATACAGCAGTTTTTGCAAGTCTGTCGAGTAACTCCTAATAGCAGCGCTCCATCTGCCAAGATGCCAGCGGAGGTCATGTTTGCATGATAAAATCAGTATTTGACAAATTCCGTCCAAGTGAAACGAAAGCAGGAAATATGAATAAAGTGATTAAAAAGTGCTTTAAGATTGGTGAAAAGGTTTATTTTCGTGTATTTGGGAATAATAAAGCTCACTGGGAGATAGGAACAATAGACAGTCAAATTGCTAACATGATTTACATGGTTCAGGGACTTAAGTTTATACCCAAACATCATGTAAACCAAATTAGAAAACGGTATGAAAGTGTAGTCAACAGGGATCCCATAGAAGATGACACTATGGACGTTGTCTTTGACACGTTTGAGGTTCCTATACCACAATCAGTGCCAAAAGAAAAAGGAAATTCATGGAACCTTTAGAAGTTAAATTAAAAAAGAAAATATATTGAATATCTTTCATTTCATACCATCTCTACAGAAAAAGGAAAAGAATGAGTAAAAAAAGCATCTCCTCACTTATGAACTTTGAATTACCAGAAAAGCACAATACGCATTGGATTATTGGAAATTATTATCATTTAAAAAAAAAAAAAAAAAAAAAATTGTAAACGTAATTCCTGTATATAGCTTTTCAAAGTGGTTGTTTCTGATGTTTTTTTTTGTGTGAAAAAGGATTGAATAAAAAGTATTGTGTAGTAATTATAAAAAAAAAAAAAAGACTATACAAAGTCAGGGTGAAAAGGGGGTGTTGTGGTGTCCTCCCCTCTAAGAGTTTATGTTAGACTCTTCCGCCTACTATAAGTTTAGTAGGATGTAAGGTTTGGGGTACAGGAATAGTGAATAGATTGAGCACTAGTTCATTTGATACACTCTCACTAGTCATGTAATATTCTTCTGGTTTACTTACTGTTTAATATGCACTATATCTGCAAACCTGGTTTTTGTTATTACTTAACCATTTACTTGGTCACAACAGATCAGGACTGACTCATGGGATTACAATTGTAAAGAATGTTGTACATGCAGTTCTTGGTCATTACAAAATACAACAACAGACACCTTAAGAAAGCCACTGGGAACAATAGTTAAAACATTATGAGGAAGAAATACAAAGACATGAAATTAGTGTGGAATTCAAATACAATAAGAAAAAAGAAAAAAAGTTAAAAATAAAAGTTTGAGATAAGTAAGAAAGCAATCTTATTTTTTTTGGAAAATAGAAATTATTTTAAAAACTAGAAGATTAAAATATAAATTGCAAAAGATACTATTGCTTACCTGAGATTGCAGTAATTAACAAGTAGACAACAACATGTTCAATTTGCATTTTGTACAAGAGAATAAACAAAGTAAGCAACCCAACTGCTTCAATACTCTGGAAAAATAAAGTTTTTAAAGGCAAGTATAAAAATAGAATTTCAAGTAATAAATCAAAAATAAAATTAAGGAAGAAGAATTATATGCAACCCACAAAGGAGCAGAAAACTTTTACAAATATTTTCAAAAATAAAACAATTCTTATTGGGTATTTTTGTTAGATGGCATTAAGATCATTTCATTTTAACCTCATTCAAAAAGATTCATTATTACAAAGATCATCACGACAGCCTTCTTTCACTTGTTTTTTAAAAAAAAAAAAGAAATTAGTACATTGCAGATGGAAGAAGAGTAAAACTTGATAAATTAAGCTTGTTTTCTATGAAGGAAACTAAATGCAACCAAAATACACAGAAAATGCTTTTTGAAGTAGACACCGAGAATGATGAGGCATGTAAAAAAAGAAATAAAAAAAAGAAAATATTTGAAAACAAGCGAAGAAAATAAAATGGCTATTTTCTCAGTTTTCAAAGAGAAAATAAAATTTATGAGGCATTTGTAAATAGAAAAAATTTGAAGTGCATTTCCTTCACCACCATGGAAACATACTTACAATATAAACAATAAAAGACGGCTCTGTGACTGCGTGTGTAATCTCGTCCCCATCTAGAATGTGTTCCTTCTGAAAGGAGAGAAAAAAAAGGTTTCATGGAAACAAGAATAAGATGACAGACTACTGGTCAGGAAACTGCAAGGTTAATAACAGGAAATTTAATGGAATTGAAAAGTTTGGTAATCAATACAATCTGCTTCAAAGATAATACATTCAACTTGCAACTAATGCATTCAACATCTGAAAGATCAAACAGTTCAAATTGTTAGACATGCAACTAATTTAGACACAGTTCTAAATTCATTGAACAATTTCTATTTTATCTTTCATACATGTACTGATAAAAAAAAAAAAAGAAGATAACAATTGGGTCAATAAAAAAAAAAAGCCTTCATCAGATTGCATTGAGGTACATCTAGAAGGAAAAGATTCAATCACATCTCCATTTGTGAAATGCCACAAAATTTATTCATAGCAACACAAAAATAGTGAAAACTGTTTATTTTTTTTTTTTAAATGAGAAAATCTAAAACATCAAAATCATTTTTGCAGTAATCTTTTTTTGTTTTTATTAAAGAATAACATGATTTATAATCAAGAGATTACAAAATTGGTTTCTTGATAGAATAGAGTTAGAATTGTTAAGTACTGTTGTCTGTCTCCTTTGCAAATAACGGACAAGAACTACATTGCTAAATGCTATTCACAACAGGAAAGCATTTCCAAATGAAATCAATTTGGACACACTATAAAAATTGAGGAATATAATTGTTATACTCCACAGAAATTAGATCTCTTTTTGATTTGTTCTACATGCCAACTGGATGATGTGAACACCATGAAAGCAGAAAACAAAATAATAAGTGTTGCTTTTTGTGCATAGGCTGTGAGCATCATGAATATTTACTTGACCCCACCACTGAGTCAGGTTGTGACACAAGGTCAGTTTTTAACATGGGGACCTGAGTGTTTTCACAAAGTTGGTCTAAACTGGCCATAGCTTTGTCCAAGCTGGTCTAATCTAGTCATAACTGTTTTTGGCTTGTCATAACTGGTCCAGGCTGGTCAGAGCTGGTCCAAGCTAGTCATAATCGTGATACCACCAGCACAGGGATGGAGCATCATGCCTGGTTATCGAAGCAAAACCCTGCAAAAAAAAAAAAAAAAAAAAAAAAATGCGACACTGACTAATTGCAAACATTACAGCCAAAAAGGTGATGTCCCTGGAGACTGCCAGATCTGCTTAAAAGCAGGCTCCCATAACAACCCCCAGCAGTTACCAGCATCAGGCCACCTGTCAACATGCAGGTCAGTGTCACTGCCATGAGTACTCCTCTCAACACAACCATTACCACTCCCAGGCTTGACTAATCACCCAAGTATTCACACATGGAAACCAACAGCGACCAGTTTCAACACGGCCCAGCTGTTGACACACCAACATGGAATGCGGCCAACTATTCTGCTTCAACCCTGCCAGGCTCCAGACGCCAAACTGCCAAGATTTATATCATCTCAGCATCATCACCACTCAGCTTTCCTCGTTGCCAATGCTGTCATCTCAGCAAACTTGACTTGATGACATCCAGCTTCAACACTTCCAGGTTCCAGATAACAATCATCACTCACCTTGGCATACCCAACTGGCTACAGGCATTCCCTTGCATAGAAACAGGCCTATCAGCTACACCAATCCCTCGTCACCTCAGCAACCAATGCACTCTACCACGAATCGACCCACCACCGTGACCTTGATCAACCAATATGTGCATTGGACCCAACCAATAACTATATCCTGTGACCTCAGTCAAACTAACTCAAGAAATTGGTCAACTGCCGGTGCTACCCTTACACTTAATTGTCATCTTGATAATCAGCAAACAAAATCAACATTAAATCTAATCCTCATTATTCCTTTTGCAACCAAATGCTTATAACAATCAATGTGTGAAAAAAAAAAAAAAAAAAAAAAAAAACAAACTTGAAAAATTTGAAAGAAAAAAAAAAAAAAATCACAAAAGAAATGCAGATTGGTTCAAAATAATTTTTAATAAATCCAGTTTTTAATTATCAAAGTCCATGAATAGACAACATTGATTTGGACAGGTTTATAAAAATTAAATCACAAAACATTTTTTAATATATTTCGTAATATTTTAAAATGAACGATTAAAGAATGTTAGTTTCGGCATTTTTTCCATTAAATTTCCCATTTATTTGGGAAATCAAAATTGGATTTTGATAAAAATATCATTTTGAATAATACATTAGAATATAAATTTTTCCCATTTCACTATAAATTGCTTTTGTTTTAATTTTTATTTTTAACATTCTTATTTTAATTTTCTTGGCTAAATTTGGTTATTTCTTGAATCTTCCTGCTGACGGAATTGTGGAATTATACTGATTCTAAAAAAAGGAAAAATACATTTAGTGAAACTTTTAGAAATTTTTTTTCAACGGAATTTGTTTTTCTGTTAAAACAAACATGAGGTTTGGTTTTAACAGTAATGGTGGCGGTCTTATTTTCCCGATTTTGTCTGGTTTTTAAATGATATTAAATAATAAAAAATAGGCGCCATGAAAAGAAATCTTCTAAAAATGAATGAATTATAAATAGTAGTTATACCGAAATGATATATCAATGATTATATATAGAATATTGGCTGTTGAAATTTTTATCTCGTGTTTATGATGAAGGAAATACAACACGGGCAAGAATCAAAAAAAATAAATATAAATAAATTATTACCTTCAAAATATATTTTTCTATTGAATCGGTTATTCCGATTTATTTTTGTTAAGATAAGGTTTATTTTATATGAAATCAGAGAAAATAATGATTTTTGTTGTTGAAATGATGCAAACCCTTTTTTTTAATAATTTCAAAGAAGAATTTATTATAAAGAAAAAGGAACTTGTCACGATAAATGAAAATCTGGTCAAATACGTTTTGTAATTATATCGTTTGTCTCACATTATGATAATTTGGGGAGGAAAAAGCAGAGATGGCCAATTGATGGATATTTTCACCCTTCATAAGCGTTGGGGACCCCAAGTTGAATAACATCATTTGACCTTCGACGACGAATCAATTGCATTGATATGGTGGATCTAACTTTTCATACAGGATTCTGTGCAGCCAAAAATGGACAATAGATCTCTCGGTTTAAATCCTGCTTGGAATTTTAAAGCTAACTTGCGCAATAGTTGTCCAACATATCAACATTCAAAAAACTCAAAACAGACATAATACAAATCGATTTTATTGGCTCTTATGTATCTAAAGCTTTCTGTATCCACTTTTTCTTTAATTCTAAATGATCTGTACAGCTCTTAAAAAAGTTTGTTTCTTTTGTTACGGATCAATGACTGGAATAAGTTACTGAAAACACTGGCATAAAAATTTGAAACTTTCTCCAAATATTTTTAAAGATCTCTGTCAAATGTGCTTTTCGGACTATTCGGTTCTATTCTATCATGGTTCAGCCATTTCGTTCAACTGGAAAAGAATGTCGTTATTGATCTTTTAGTTAGTAACACTCATTGTTTCTTAATTTTAAGTTTCCAATAGTTTCTGTTTTTTATCCCAAATTGAAATGGGTTTTATTAGACATGTAATCAAAGGAGAAAAACAGAGCAGAGGCTTTATTTCTTTCTATTTTTTTTTGCAATACTTAATATTTCAGGTCCGAATAAATACCTATTTTTTGCAGGAAATTTGTTTCAGATCCTCATAAAGATTTGTGTACTTTGTTTTGCCACTTTCATTTTGTAAACATCAATGTGAACTATATTTTAGATAGTTTCTTGTTTCCCCTAAAATTTCTCTCAGAATGGGAGGATGCCCAACTGTTTTGGAGTAACTTCTTTCATATTGGCTCCATCTTTAATTTAGCTCTGAGTTCCTGAAAAAAAATTGAATAGTTTCTAAGTTTTGGCGTAAAAGTGTGTGTTTGTGCGTCTGATTTTCTGACCTCAATCATGCTAAAATAGATTTTTTTCTCACTAGAACCTAGGTGTATGTATTGGTTGAATTATCTTCCTTTGTCTCACCTGAAAAAAATTTCATATCTGAGAGTAAAAATCTTTTTGAATATTATGGTTCAAAATTTAGTTAAAATAAAGAAATGAATCAATGAAACGATTTAAGAAAAAAACACATTTTTGATCAAGTATCGACCATCATAAAGACTGAAAAATAAAATTGACAAAAGATTATTGTTTAAGGTTGATGGACACGCATGTCTTAATTATTTTTTTTTTTTTTTTTATGAATTGGTCAAACCCAAACTCAAACAAAACATTGTTTTCAATCGTTATGAGTCTACCGATTGAATAAATTTTATTATAAACAATTGTCTTGTAAATGGAATTTTTAAAGCATTCTGAATGTAAAAATAAAAGAAAAAAAGTGTGCAAGACAATAAGAAACACTACCTGCCAAAAAAAATTGAAGTTTTGTTGAAAAGTTGAAAAATGTAGGAAATCCGATCCCATATATAAACACACACACACACAAACAACCTGGGTTTTATAATAAGTATAAACTCGATATGAGTTGTCCCCTTTCATTCTTGTGACAGCAATGCCTCTTAATCGTGTTTTCAAATTGATTTTGTGCAAAAACAATTGTGTTTTTCAATTTTGGCGCTGTCAGAACCACCGCAAGGTAATTTTACGTAGTCCTGTGAAGTTTTGTTGAAATCGGTTGAAAAATGTAGGAAATCCGATCCAATATATAAAACACACACACACACACACAACCTGGGTTTTTTTATAATAAGTATGATTTTATAAAATTTATATAAATTATAATAATCTCATATATACATATATATAAACTCCGTTTTATGCTAAACTCACTCAATAAAATCAAATGAAAAAATTTTTAAAAAGGGTTTAGAGGATGGATTTGACTATGATGCTAAATTAAAGAAGGAAAATTAAATATAAAGCACAAACTGAAGAGAATTATAAAGTGATTCCCCACTTTGCAATACAGTATTTCATACCAAATGTCACTTGCAAAGCTTGGGTCAAAGCAGTATAGTTATCATCCCCAACATTTCCACACTGGATTATTATTATTATTGAGAAATCACCTCCTGACAAATTGACCATTGACTTAATTCAAACATGGGTTGAAACATTAATTGTCTCACACTCAACCATGAAGCTCTGAGTAAGGTTTAAATAAACACACACTAGAGATCTCAATAATACATCAGAAATAATAGTGGTTGATTAAAAATGATTCATTTTCAAAATATATGATAATTTTAGAAAGTAATGTTAAAGGGAACATTTAGATCTATAAATACAGAGCAAAATATATTCAGGTATCTAGAAAACATGACAATTGGCTTATCTGAATGATTCCCTGAAGAAAAAAATAACTTTCTAAACAAAGTCAAGTTTAATGATTTTGCAATGGAACAATGCCTGTCCTTACATTGCAAGTAGAATGCAATAAATAATCAAATTTCAGGATAGTGAGTTACTTCCACATGCAGCATATGTGCCAAACCTTCCACCTTCAGATTATCACTTTATGCAACACTACTTGTTGGTCAGCAGTCCAAGAAATTCAGTTTATTAGAAAATTCATTGAATCAAAAACTAGAAACATTATTTTAAGGCAGAATACACAGTTTACCTAGATGGTAGTGTAAGGTCAAAGAAAAACCAGGAAAATATCTTTGATGAGTAAATTAAAATACTATAAAATTTTGACATCAAGATAATACAGAGTGTTTATAAAGTTCCTATCTTCTATTTTAATAAAATACATTGAAATTAAAACAAATTGATTACAGAATGAAAGGTGAGTAACACTTATTGAATTATCAAAGAGTAAGATTTGACATGACAGTATCCCATACACTTCAAAATATATCCTAAGAGATTTGTGCCATTATATGCAGAATTTCATATATATGGTCTGGACATTCTTCATACAATTAGAAAAAGCAAATTTTACCATATTTGCATTTGAGTAGATGACTGTCAAAATGATCTTGTCTATCTTTGGAAAAGGAATCCACCTAAAGGTTAATACAGGATTATGGAATACTCACATAGAAAAGGATGATGTAGTTTTATCTCAAACTCAAATGTTTCTGTTTTATAGCCATCAGGTGGTTCTATTTTTAAGTCTAGTTTTCTAAACAGTATCCACTTTGACCAAAGGAGAACAAAAGAAAAAAAAGAATGGATGGGGTATTTTTAGAGATCAAATGACAACAAACTGATTATTTCTGGGTGCTGGTCTATATTAGCAGTCATACTTGGGATCAGAGCATTAATTCTGTTCCACATACTTGTCTGTTGCATGGTTCCAATGCCGTCCATCCATATTGCCAGTCACACATTGGATGTGTAGATTGGTGAGGAGTTAGTTGGGGAAGAGCTGATCTATGAGATCAACATAGAAGTTGTCCAAAGTGTCATCTACTTACCCACCCAGGTGAGCAGGCAAGCCACTCTGAATGAAACAACTATGGGAAATAAGGTTTGCATTCTTGATGAAAATCATGGGCAAGGGACAAGTATACAACTTATAAATGTTTAGATAGGTTTTTATAAATTCAAAGGTTCATGAATCTTATTCTTTTGAATTGGATTTTTCATAAAACTGGCATTTGATACAAGGATAGTGGTGTTGCAAAGTCCTCAGACCAAACCCACTTCTAAAATCTGAACAAGCAGATATTTTTTATAAGGGTTTTTACTAAAACTGAAAACTTTTTTAACACCCACTCATGCCAAATGGGGACAATTCATGTCACAAGAACACTTTATGGCTGGCTGACTGACAGATTTAGAAAGCTATCAACAACATAAAAGTCAACTTTAAACTTTTAAGCAATTTGCCATTTCACTCATTTTTTATCCCAGGCAAAATGTCTTTTTGTGTATTTTTTTTCATGAATTATAAATTTTGCCAGAAATGACTCCTTGGTTACCAAACCCTACCATATCTTTTTGAACATGAACAAAATTATTGCAACAGCCAAAATCAGATTGCATTTCTCTCTCTCACACACACCATATTTATAAGAATGCAATGGAAATAGTCAAATATATTCTAAATCAATTTCTAATATACCATCCTTCATAACCTAATAACTACACTGAAACATACACTTGTGCAAGTGTGTACATAAAGTTGTGTGTGCATATTCAAAAGCTAATCATTTGAATTATTGAACTGCACATCAATAAATAACTGTTAGCATGTATAATAAATTACTTACAATATATACAAAACTACTCCATAAGAAATTTTAAAGTCTTATCATTTCAAAAAAGTAAAAGTAAATAAAAGTAGTTAATGCTTGTAATAAAATAAGACAATACAGTTTTGTATATTTGCCATTAATAAACAGCCCTTTGTTCAAGAAAATAAAATGCTTTGACATACATTAAAAATTTATCTATAAATAACCTTTTAAGATAAACAGTTCTTTCATTTATTCTTATTTATAAGAGAGAAGAAAATTTAGATGGTGGGTTCTATCTTGCTAAGTAATCAAAGAAATGAATATTTTTAAAAATTTAAAGAACCATTTTGAATGAGTAATTTTTAACTTTGACAAGATGAGAATTAAAAGTCATTAAAGTGTTTATAATTAAGAATGTTGAAAGATTTTAATTCAGAAGAAAAGGAGATGAAAAATCTCAAGTAAATAAAAGATTCATTTATTTTTAAAACTTATATGAAACTGTACATAAGATTATGTAGCTTGAAAAATATCAGAAAATGAAATCTGTTTTTTGCATTTTTTTTTCAACTGCAATAGAAGACAATATACAAACAAGCATTTAATACATATTTCAAAAGTTTCCCAATCTGCCACTAACAAAATAAATGAAATGTAAAAACAAAAAAGATTTTTTGCTTTTAGAATTTAATGTATTCAAAAAAGATTCAAATTACATCATAAGACAACAATTGTGTGAAAGGCTGATATGTACAACAATGACAACCAAGTTCATTTTGTGTTATTGTCAAAACAATTCTCCTATTTGACCATATCAATTGTTCAACGGATTTATTTCAATATTAATTAACCTCAGCAACAATACCTTTTTTATAAATATCAGACATCACTAAAATAAAGTTGATTATTGAGTAACAAAATGTTAGATTTGTTTGTGAATATGTTTTAAAACTAATTTGCAGTAAACAACAGACTTTTGTAGTTATTCAATGAGAATATAAAATAAGCAAATAAAAAATATTTCAAAAAGTATTTTTACTATTAAAAGCACTTTATTAAAAAAGAAAAGAAATGCCAGCCAAATATGTGCATTATTCAAAACAGAATTATTGCTCCATTTCCCATGGGAATGATAATGCATATTTGTTGGATATAGTTTCAGACAGGAGGAAATTGAACATTACATTGGCTACACTTAAGGTTTCTCTAACTAGATAAGTAACAGAAATTATTCCAAAATATTTAAAAACATTACATAATATTTTGGGAAGAGAAATTCAATTTGATTAACAAAAATAAACAGGCAAACTTACAAAGGAAGCTTTTTTATTTAATTAAAGTACAATGATAGTGAAATGGTTTATATTTTATCTTGTCTGATTCACTGATTGTTTTTTTTAATTAAAATTGAAAATCTATATTTTAAATTTTTAGTCACACTGAGTGTCTTCAAATTTATAAAAGTTTATCATGTACTTCAAAAGGCAGTTTTGCCTAAATATGTGAGACTTTATAAAGTAAGTTTTCAAATCAATTCTCTTTTTTACTATATACTAAGTTGACTGACATGGTTACATTTCAAAATGAATGCCAATACATATCAATTTTTCATCAAAATACCTTTGTTATAGAAAGATTGAGTGTATAAATGGTATTTCATTAATAGGAGAAAAGCAAAGTAAAATGAGGAATAATTTTTTAGATTTTGAAAGTTATATGACAAAAATGTTTACTATTGATTAAAAAATGGAAAAGTTAAATATGATGAGAATTTTACAAAAGAGTGAGAATGAAAAGAGAAATACCAAATTATTTTTCTGAAATCCAACTTAATTTGCTAATTTTAATAAAATTAAAAGTTTGATTGATATTTGTTTTTCTAAAGTAGAAACTAAAAAGGTTCTGTCAAAGGAAAGGAAATATGAGGAGGAAGTTATAACCAGTTAAAGACTTTCATTCAGTGTAAAGAAAGAGATGTAAAGTGAATAAAAGAAAAATGAAATAAAGTAAGCGGAAAAAGGAGAAAGATTCAGAAGAAAAAATAGAAGAAATTTTGTAAAACAACGAAAGAAAAGTGAAATAGAAGACAGAATCAACTTTCTATTCCTAAGAAGAAGAGAGAAACCGTATAGAGAGCAGGAAAAGGAGAGAGGGAGAGAAAAGAAAAGCGATTGAGATAAGAGCGCTTCTGCTAAAGAGAGGAAGGTTGCTTGAAAGAAAGAAAGAAAATTTTTATATAAAAGAAAAAGTAGACGACAGAGAAGGAATAATAGGTGAGAGAAACGGAAAAGAAAAGAAAAGAAAGGCAATGAATGTGAGGGAGAGAAATTGTCCCATGAGAAATCAAAAGGAAATAGAATGTAGAGAGAAGAGGAAAGATAAAAGAAAGATAGATGGATACATAAGAGAAAGGAAAGATAGATGAAGAATAAATAAAGACAGGAGAAAAGAGGTAAAAAAAAAAGTAGGAAAATAAGGAGAGAGCAAGAAGAGGAGATAGATAAAACAAAAAAAAGAGACAGACTAATATTCAAGAGTGACCGTAAGAATTGTTCTGTTATTTGAAATGCTGATTAGCGCCTAGTATTGACAAATGGCAAATGTGTCTCCTGAAATGGAACAGCAAGCGGACGTGAGTTGCGTGTATAAAGATGAAGTTCAGTAACAATTGTTTGTTGTTTATGTGAACAGTCGAAAAAAGAAAGAATAATGAAAAGAAAGAAAATGACAATATGGAAGATTAGGCGAAAGGAAAGAAAGAAAAATAAAAAAAAAAATAGACAAAAAAGAACGAATCAATATAACTCTGTCTATATATATATATATATATATATATATATATATATATATATATTGACAGCAACCTTTCTTTTCAGACATCTTTTATTGAATGCGGCCGACAAGTGAAGATTAAATTATTTTTTGAAATTTTTACAGCTTCCTAACAGTTTTTTCGTTTTTTATAGGAGGTAAGGAATATATAAAATTGTCCATAATTTTTATTGTTCCAAGCGCTTTCGGCCATGTCTTTAAAGGTGTTTAAGGGTGTTTTTCATTTTTGGTGTTTGTTGTAAAATATTTTTGTGTTGTTTTTGAAAAAGAAGCGTCATTCCAAGTTCAAAAATATGGTTTGTGTGGGCATTTTGCTTTTTATTAAAAAAACCGTCATTACTCCATTTCCACTATTAAATAAAGGTTGATGGTAGGAGACGTTTTTTGAATGCTTTCGAATAGCAAGATGATTCTGATGATGTGATTTTGCTTTTTTTAAAAAAAAAAAAACCTTCAATAAGCTCCATTAAATTAAATTATGGATTAATAAATGCTTTTTTTAATGGCAGAATGGTCAAGAATAAGAAATTGGCACAAGGCGACTATTGATGATGGTGAGAAGTGTGTATTTTTGGTACACGAATTTTGTGACAAGAAACTTCTAAAAGCACTATGGATTAATGAAATGCTTTTTTAATACATTGGTCATCAAGGGGTTTAATGCGTCTATTATTTGGTTAGTGACCACAAGGTTTACAGTCTTTGATTTCCTGTAATATTTTAGTCTATGGTTTACAGTTTTTGAAACGGATATAATATGATTCTTTCATATGAAGGCGTCCGGTTTATTTTTATTAGTGACCACTGGTTGCAGTAAAATAGTGTGAATGATTTTGTGTATATTTTTTTATATGGTTTCGTGTATTTTTAAGTATAATTTTATTTGAAATCAATGATGGCTTAGTTGGGAAATTTTTGTTGTCCTAATTTTATTTTTATGTGTTTTAGTTCGTTCAAAAAAATTCTTTGTGAATGAGGAATTTGATATTTTTATTTACTGGTGTTTTGTTTTTTGAATAATTTTATATCTTTCTGGGAAATTATTTCTGACTAATTTTTTAGAAGTGTTTTAGTTCGTGCTCCTTCTTGAAGATTTATTATGGGCTTTATTGGTAGTTTGTTATTTGGATTTTATTTCTTCTATACAAACATCAATGTTTGGACAAGATTTTAGACATTAAACATTTTCATATGGTAAATTTTAGAGTTTATTTTTTCAAAATTGCTATTTTTTTTAAACATGAGTTTATGTAAATTTTAGAGAGTTTTTCAAAATTTTTTTCAAAATAATTTAACCTTATTTTTTATCAAAACGAAAATGTCATCAAACCTTTTGTGTTGATTTCTAGTTTATCAGTTGTTTTAAACACTTGTTTTCAATATAAGAGCTAAAAGAGAAAGCAGGACCTAAAGAGTTTCCCATGCTGACAAATTTCTTGAAATTAACAAAGTGGGGGGGTAAAAGATGTAAAAAAAAAACATATATTTGTACCAAGATTGTCTAAATAATATTCAAAAAAATAAATTAATTCATTCGTGAATTCGTTTAATTTCATTAAAATCCGACAATTATTTGATTTTCGCAAGAATTTCAAAATCAGTGTGTTATTTTACTGGAAAAAAAGGCGCTAAAATTTTCATAGCTCTGTCACAACAATGACGCATAAAAAAAAATTAAACAAAATTTCGAACTTGTTAGAAATTTTTAAAATACTTTGGTTTTTTCTTTTATTAAAATATTTTAACGATAAAACTGTTTTTTATTAAGTTTGGGGCTCTTTTTTCATCATGCTATGCTTTTTTAACAAAAAAGTGGAGGCACCTATATAAAAACAAAATAAAATTAGAATGTTTAAATTCTAAAACTTAGTACGAGAGAATTAAAAAAAAGAAGAAAAAAAGGCACAGTTGTCTTATCTGCCAAAGACAGATATAAATAAAAGATGTTGATTTGCCAATAAGAACCAATTTTCAACCAATGAAAAACCTTTCTAAAGTTTATATGATTGACGTCAATGTTCGCGCCAATTTTGGATTCTTTCTTGCCGGAAGTCGAATACGAAGTGACGTGAAGTAAGAGCTCCTTAAAGAATTCGATAACTGCTTGCTTTTTTTATGCACGAAGTTACATAACCGGCTTCAACACTGCAAATGTTCAAAGAAAAATTAAACATGACTTAGGAATTTAAACTACTGAATTAAGAACGTCCCGAAGCAACAGTGAAAGAACTTTTACAAGATAAAACGAACATTTTCAGCTAGAAATTATTGGCTCTCATTATCCAGACTCAGTTTCTAAGATAAGTTCTGCAAAATCATTCTTTTATTTCTTATATTTTTGTATTAAAACTTAAATTGCAGATTCTAAAAGGTTGTTTTTTCTTCATCGGAATTCAGGAATATTCAATTTGAATTGTCTGACGGGGATTTTTAAAACTTCAAACCAAACTAATCCCCATAAATGATTTTTTTTTTTTTTTTTTTATCTATAAATTGTTTTCCTTCTCTTTATTTATATGTGCGGTGGGAGGGTATTGGTAGCGCCTCGGAATGAGAAATCTGAGAGCAAATTTCGAATTACGGTCGAATTCGTTACATTGACTTACGCTTACTTCAGGAAAAGGTATGAATCTCTTCCCCTGCTTTGGGTTAAATAAGGATTTGTATCTGGAAAAATCTTACACTCAAATTGTTAATGGAATATTTACTCTAGCAGAAAAATATTCTTACAATCCAAAATGTTTCAACTTTTAAATAACTCACAAAAGGTTAAACCATGAAAAAACAAATCGATCAATACTAGTAATTTATTTTTAATTCCAATTTTTTATCGTATGTAATCAGATTAAGATTTTACATAGATTCTGGAATAAATCTCTCGAACGTCATTCTTACCCAGGAACCCTGTCTTGCCGTGGTAGTGGCTTTAACGTTAGCTAACTACCTACTGAAAGCCAGAACTGTAAATGTACTTCCTTTTTTTTTTTTTAAACAGATATACGTGGTATTAGCAGCCATATTGAATTTTTATTTGATGAAGCAGTTTGTTATTGGTAACTAAGTAGTATTTTTACTTTAATTTTGGTTGTTTTTTATCGTAATAATTATAGTTATGCCATTTAAGAAATTCGGACAACTTAAAACATTACCCATTAGATGGAAACAAACAAAAGCAAACTAGTAGTTGAAATAATGAGTTTGAATCTATGAAATTGGAACATTGTTTCTTTTTAACCTAAAATACCTTAAATTTCTGCACTAATATTCCGAGTTATTCCACTCGGCATACAAATACACTTGACTGTAACAGCAATGTATTTTCAAATTATGACAATTAGTAACTTTAGTTAATTAACGAAGAGTGATGTTGTCAAACTTTACTTCTATTTCCAGTATGACTACACATAAATTTAACTTTATTTAAAACCGGTATAAAATTTTCATAGATATGCAAACCAATTATTTGAACATGATTTATTTATTATACTAGGAATTTATATTATATAATTACTTGGAAAAATGTTTATAGTGGCGATTTATCTACCCAGAATTTAAATTCTAAATTTGGAATTTTTCCTAAACACTTTTGACAAGAAAATTAATAGCGTCAACATTTTTATTGGCTTTTATAAACTGTATTTTGGCGCTTAAACGTATTCGTAAGGGATCCAGTTTGTAATGAATACGGTGGAACAATTGATAGCGGCTCGAATTCCAGTCAAATCCATTACATTAACTTATGTGCTAATACCTTTGGGAAAGATATGAATCCTTCTCCAGCCCCTCCCACCAGCTATGGGTAAATATCAGGACAGACTGGGTTCTATAGCCTTGAATGGCTACTGGTCTACCGCAGAAAGAAATGGCAACCTACGGGGAAAAAACTGTCTCGTCAGTTATGTATCGAATGATACATGATCGCCCTAAGCGTGTATCACGCATAACACATAACTGACTGATTCAATGTATGGTAAATTTATCCAAAGTTGACTCTAATATCTTGCTCAGCATCTTATGATTAGAAGATTTTCTGTCTGTAGTCGCTTGCAATGAAAAAATTGTGTTTATATATATATATATATATATATATATATATATATATATATATATATATATAAAGCAAACAGTTTTGAGTAAAGGAAACAGAATCAAACTGGCTGAAGATATTTTGGATTAAGAGAAATGATACCCTGAGTTTGTGTTCAGATAATTAAGAATTATAGTAAAGAATTATTGAATATAAATGAATTTGTGAAAATTTCACAACGCCGGAGGATTTATAAGATTGGAAACGGTCTTGGTAAAAAGCTACATACAATGATTGCTTTGTTGAAAACAAACTTAGTAGCGACATTTACTAGACTTTGTACCTTAACTAAGTCACAAGCGTAAGAGAGAAATAATAGCTAAGAAAATGAGCACTAACGATTGTGAGACGTCTTAGATATCTACTTTCTAAACCAGTTGTTTAACACGTTAATATGTCGAAAAAAAACTTTTGGACACATCAAAAAAGGGGAAAACCCAGAAGAGAGCAGCAATAGCCTGGTATGGGTTGCAAAAAAGTACAATATTTCTTGCGACATTTGGCTCCAAATAGGTCTAGTAACAAAGAAAAAAAAAAGTAATCTTTTAGCTCGACAATTAACCAGTCATGCGTCGGCATTGGTAGAAAAAAACAACAGTTGGTG